TTTTAATGTTTCCGAAGCGAAGCGAGGGCGGGTCGCTAGTTATATATATACAAGAATTGCTCGTTTAAAGGTATAAGATTCTAATTTTAGGCAATTCAAAATCGAGAATTCGAAGCATTAAATTGTAAAATAGTAAAGAAGGAGAGAGAAAAAGAAAAAAGGTATTACGCCTCAGTGTTGGCTGAAAATTAATTAACGTTACAAAGAAATCTTACCCTCAATTTTCAGTTGTAATATAAAATAATATTTTTGCAATGAAAATTAACAATTTTTAAGATTTTTAGAAAACGTTTCACAATTTACTCAGACATTTTTTTAGTAAATTTTCATCGACGAGCTCACGGCCCACCTGGTGTTCAGTGGCTGCCAGAGCCCATAGACATCTACAAAATAAATTCCACCACCCGCCTGTGAGATTGAAGTCGTCGTGGCCTAAAGGATAAGACGTCCGGTGCATTCGTGTTGAGCGATGCACCGGTGTTCGAATCTCAGGCGGATAGCAATTTTTCTAATGAAATACGTACTCAACAAATGTTCACGATTGGCTTCCACGGTGAAGGAATAACATCGTGTAATAAAAATCAAAAATCCGCAAAATTATAATTTGCGTTATTACTGGTGGTAGGACGTCTTGTGAGTCCGCACGGGTAGGTACCACCACCCCGCCTATTTCTGCCGTGAAGCGGTAATGTGTTTCGGTTTGAAGGTGGGGCAGCCGTTGTAACTATACTTGAGACCTTAGAACTTATATCTCAAGGTGGGTGGCGCATTTACGTTGTAGATGTCTATGGGCTTCAGTAACCACTTAACATCAGGTGGGCTGTGAGCTCGTCCGCCCAGCTAATCAATAAAAAGAAATGCGTTCTAAGGTCTCAATTTTACAGTACAACGGATGCCCCACCCTTCAGTCCGAATTACTGCTTCACGGCAAAAATAGGCAGGGTGATATTTCCTACCCGTGCGGACTCACAAGACGTCCTACCACTTGAAAAATATAAGTTAATTTTTCATACGATGTGACATCTTTTCAACGTGCCACAACTTTGAATTTAACTGCGACAATTATAATGTACCCTTCCATTGCTTCCTCCAAGATAGTAGATCCAAATTGGTCACCCAATTTGCTGAAACACAATTTAGATAATAGCATCCAATAATACCCTTGTCAGGCCCCAGTGTAATGGGGCCAACTCGCTCATAATCACAGTGGCCTTGTCTTACGAAATTAAGACGAGACTTGATTTCAATAAGATTGAAAATTAATGATCTCATGGCGAATTCTGAAGGGGAGACTGGGCATAAATTATGAATTCTGTTCATTGTTAAATCTAATTTGGCAATTTGTTGAAGATGAATTTTCATTATCGAAAAAAAAAAAGCTATTATCGACGCTTTTCATTGATAACTATGTATATATGGGTTGTCTATATTATATATTAATACGTGAAGCAAAAACTTTGTATCCATTTTTACGAAAATTGCGCGGACGGAGGAGTATGAAATTTTCCACACTTATAGAGATTATAGAGAAGAAGTGCACAATGTTAATATTTTTTTCTAAATAATGCATAAAAGATACATTAAATCAATAAAGAAAACATTACACACACTAGATACAATGTATTTGACGCACACACGCATGCATTCTATTTATTGTCAAACTTTTGTTCTTGACGTCTGTGGTCAAATTGAGAAGAGATTAAATATTGTTTGTCTTCTTTATTAATATTTTTTTATAGTGTAGCCTTGGCGAAATTTGTGATTATAGAAGTATAAAATACAATCATAATAGTGAACAAACTTACAATTCCAATTAATTATAGTCGAATTTCGACTACTGCGGGACTTCTAGTATACCATTATTATACTGCAATGTACCCTTAGAGAGTACCCTTCGAATCACGGATGTTCAAATAGCCCTTCAAATTGTAATTAACAGTTGCTAAAGTGTAATGGTTGGGGTCCGCCCTTCTAGGCCCATGACAAGCCCTACCACCAATTCGCTTTATCACATGATTATTCTTTAAAGATGTTTCACTACTTAAATGGTGAATGACCTTTCATTCCAGCCAGTCCAAAGTCGTCAATTCAGGTCATAAACCTCACAATGTGGTTGCCGCCATTAACTTTGAGATAAGAATTCAAAGTGTGTTGAATAGCACCTTTTTTTTCGTGCCGGTTTCCGCACCTCCTTCGAGGTCCCCGCGCCTAGGGGGCGCGCGGGGTATGTGGGACTTGACAATCTGTAAGGTGTTGGGAGCAGACCGCGGGCCCAAGGAATTTTAGGGCCCCACCGCACTAAACGACTCCCCTGCACTCTTACACCCGACGTCAGAACCCGGCCAGAATAGGGGGGTGCCCACGGTCAACACTACAACAAGACACGCGGCGCCATCCCGAGGACGCCCGACCGACGGGTCGTCGAGGCAATAGACGACGACCAACGACACCGGTCTCCGCGGTACGGCGGCCCTACCAGGCCGCCCGGGCGATGCCGCTGGTGTTCCGGGATACCCCGCTGGGCCAGACTACCGAGTCGGAACGCGATACACCGCCGACCGGGTTGCTCTCCCACAGTATGTTCGGCGACGACAGCGACGACTACAATGCAGACCGCATCGCAGGCCGCAGCGGGGCAGTACGCGAGATGTTAAATAGCACCTGTCCCAACTTCCAAAATTGAACGCACAGTTGGCTATTAACAGCAGTAATAGGCAGGATGATGGTCTCTGCCGATGCAGGCTTACAATACCATCACTAAATGGCAGTTGGCGATTGCAGTACGCTGGCAAAATACTCTATTACTCACCTTTACGAAACCCTCGGGAAAGGCAACCGGTAGATAGGTAGGCAGCGGCTTGACTCTGTCCCTGGTATTGCTGAAGTCCATAGGAGACGGTAAGCACTCACCATCAGGTGGGCCGTATGCCTGTCTGCCTCCAAGGGCAATAAAATAAAAAATGGGCTGATGCTGCACCACACAGCCAATTGGTATCATATACGTATGTACATAAATTTAGTAGAATATTATAACAATATATTACAATCCAACTGATTTGTCTCGTCGTTACTTATTAGGATTCTGATACATTTCGCAACCGGCGGTGGAGTTCGTATTTTGACATTCAACAAGAATTCTCCAATTACATCTGACGTAAAATTAATTACATTTCATACTTTGAAGTTCCGATCACGACTCGACTCGAATTCACATGACATTTATTGAAACAAGCTGTACTTATTAGTTATGTTCAATTAAGCTAAAAATACGTACAATCTCAAAATGCCATCCTAAAAACTAGATCGATAAAATAATAATCTATCTATCTATCTATATATAAATATAAGAAGAATTGCTGTTCGTTAGTCTCGCTTTGGCTAATTTTGGTCTTGAATTATTTGTGGAAGTCCAGAGAAGGTTTAAAAGGTAAATAAATATGAAAATGCTCGGAATTAAAAAAAAATAACAATTTTGTTTTTCCTTTGATGTCTTCCCCCGTCGGACAGACGGACTCCTTTCGTTTGTTTTAAGTTTATTTTATACAAAAGTTTAGGTATTTTATTTATCGGTTGAGGCACTACGAAGTCTGCCGGGTCAGTACAAGAAGTAGTAGCTAGTTACTAATATATTTATATTTACTTTAAATTCATTTAGGCAACACCTTACATTTTATACTCACAATTTAACACAAAATTTGTTTCGACAAACGTTTGCTTACCGAATTGGATGAGTAAATAAAATAGCTATGGATAGATAAATATCGATTTCGTCGCCAAAAAATATGGTTTGAATACTTTTGGGCGTAAATAAGATTGTAAGCATGTTTTTTTAAACGTATTCATAAAAAAGGTAATAGTTTTCAAATGATGACTAGCTTTCGTTTGTTTTTTTTTATTGCTTAGATGGGTGGACGAGCTCACAGCCCACCTGGTGTTAAGTGGTTACTGGAGCCCATAGACATCCACAACGTAAATGCGCCACCCACCTTGAGATATAAGTTCTAAGGTCTCAAGTAAGTTACAACGGCTGCCCCACCCTTCAAACCGAAACTCATTACTGCTTCACGGCAGAAATAGGCAAGGTGGTGGTACCCACCCGCGCGGACTCACAAGAGGTCCTACCACCCAGTAATTACGCAAATTATAATTTTTGCGGGTTTTGATTTTTATTACACGATTTTATTCCTTCACCGTGGAAATCAATCGTGAACATTTGTTGAGTACGTATTTCATTAGAAAAATTGGTACCCGCTTGAGATTCGAACACCGAGTGCATCGGTCAACACGAATGCACCGGACGTCTTATCCCTTAGACCACGACGACTTCGACTTCGTATGTGGAATAAAACCGTGTGTTGATAAAGTCCCGTCTTATCAATATAACTTCATCAAAATTATCATAATCCGTATCAATATTCTGTATTAAGAACCGGCACTTAATTGCCTGAACAGACTTAATTTGCAAAGTTGAACATATATTTTAACTGGCTCACTTAAAGTCGGATGTCTGTCCTTGTTCGAAGAGCAGAGGCGACTGTTGTACAGCCATCTTCACATTATAGTATCGATAGCGTTAAGCAATCACTCTGAGACATCCACTGTTCTTGTCGAACCCGTTGCTTGCGATGAAGGGTTCGGCGAGTAAACTAACCAATAGACACAGCCCACTGAGTTTCTCGCTGGATCTTCTCAGTGGGTCGCGCTTCCGATCCGGTGGCAGATTCTGCGAAGCACTGCTCTTGCTAAGGCTAGTGTTAGGTTAGGTCAGGTTAGAGCCCCGTGAGCTTACCTACTCGTTGGGTGAGTCTAATATGACCCCTTGAGGCAACTAGAATAGGTAGGACATAAAAACCGAGACATCTTAACTATAATACAGTATTATTTTACTAACCAACTACTTTCCATTTTGTTACAGAACCTCATAAAAAAATCAACAATGATAACGTTAAACAAAAGCCAAGTTAATTCTCGATCAAGGCAGCACGAGTAATTGAACCGGCATGGATATAGACGAGAAAGTGTCCGGCCCGGGCGGGGCCTCCCAGAAGAACTGGTCGCATCTGCTACACGTGAACAACACTTACGATGAACTCCCGCTGGAGATGCGCTTCAACTATAGCCACATGGTCTCCATGACGGTATACAGTGTGCTGATGGTGATATCAGCGACAGGCAACTTGACGGTTCTTTATCAACTGGTCCGGAGAAGACGAGCGAAACGCGCCAGCAGATTGGACATATTGCTCATGCATTTGGCTGTCGCTGATCTCATGGTGAGGTTTTAATTCTTTACTATTAAAGTCTTGGTCTGGTCTTGAAATAAGTACATGTCCATTTACTAAGTGGTAAACTCTAGTGTCTCTGTGTGGTCAGTCTAGAATAGTACCACGTACTTATTCCATTTGATATTGCAAAAGGTGACTGATTTATCGGAGAAAAGACAGCAGCGATTTCAGAGCAGTATATCAGCTTACTGTGATCAACAACTAGAATTTATCGATGGTAGGGTCAATTGGAAGTCCATATGGGCAACGATCACCACCCTGTTTGTTCCTAATTTCACAAATGAAATTCAATTGACATTTCGACTTAATGTCGGTAACGTAGACGTAAGGGATAGGGACCTCGTAGAACTTATTCAGCAATGACAAAAAACATGGAATTATTATTTTTACAGGATTTTTAATGATGACTTTCGGAACCTTACTGTGAGTTTTCATTTTTCAATTTTAGGGGAACTCAGCGAACTCCAATCAGGGAGTGGTTTAAATCCGTTTGATACCGCGAAGGTACGAGTGCATCTAAATGTAAATCTAGTCATCACAGTCATAAGAATGGCTGTTCTTGTTCCATTTGCAAAAGGGAAGGCTGGGTTTTGCTTACCACTAAGTGACACTTTCGACATTACGGTTCTGATCACTAGAAGTGTGTCAAGAAACGTTTATCAGCACTGACTGTCTTCTGGTTAGATTTTCTACTCGATTTAGCGAAAATTCCATTTCGTTTTCTTCAGCCAGTTTTTGCTTGAGTGGCTTACGTCAATCATTTTTGGGTTCAAATAGGAAATTTTGTTAAACAGCCGAAGGCGATTTGACCCTCGACAAAAACCGCCAGATTTTGTCGTTTTTGTTCATTCGTTTTAGGTTAGGACATACTTTCTTGTTCACCAAAAATTTTAAGGAATCAGGAGACATATAAGCTGATAATAATACAGATTGAACATAACTATCGTGTTGTTAAAACTGCACTGAATGATTGCCTAACTTCTTATGCTCATGTCTTAATGGGCGAATGAGCTCATTCCCAGCTTACCTGGTGTTGATGTCCATAGACACTGCAAAGTGAATGCCGCCAATCACCTTGAGACATGAGGTCGGAGTCTTAATTATATTGTATCTGTCCTACCCTTCGAACTGAAACGTATGAATGCTTAGCGATAGAAATTTGCTGAATCGTGGTACCTATCCATTCGGGTTGACAATCCGTAATACTACAGGTAAATTTCGGTACACCATCTTAGTACGCTAGTACAAATACTTAGGAAACGTTGAACATTCTCCGTTAAAATCCCTTAGTCGCCTTTTAGAACACCCACAGGAAATAGGATGGTTCCCTTCTAGGCCAATAACACTTAGTCGGTCATCGCCGTTTGTCCCTTGCAATCCCTTGGGCGAAAGACATGCGTAGTACTCATAATTACTGGGCAATGAACTTGCTGTAGTATCGAAACAACGCTATCTCATATCCGAGACCTTGAAAGTGGTTTTTACTGGTGGTAGGACCTGTTGTGAGTCCGCGCGGGTAGGTACCACCGCCCTGCCTATTTTCTGCCGTGAAGCAGTAATGCGTTTCGGTTTGAAGGGTGGGGCAGCCGTTGTAACTATACTGAGACCTTGCAACTTATATCTCAAGGTGGGTGGCGCATTTACGTTGTAGATGTCTATGGGCTCCAGTAACCACTTAACACCAGGTGGGCTGTGAGCTCGTCCAACCATCTAAGCAATAAATTAAAAAAAAAAAAAAGTGGGTCAGAATGAAAACCATAACCACACAATTAAGCCATATATGGTTTTTAAATGGCGTCTGAAATATGCGGCGACTTCATAAAATCCTTTTCTTTCTAAGGTGAGCAATGAGCTACCCGTGATTACAATACCAAAACACATACCTAACGCGAATCATCTCACCCTTATACAGTTTAATGTTTGGTTTTAAATAAATCATTTTAATTAAACCTCCCTGAATCTAGGTTAGCGTACCGCACAGTGAACCGGTGTTATCTTATCGCCGGATTTGTTTCTAAAAGCCCCAAACAGCCGCAGCCAAACACAATATTTATCTTGAATTTATATTAAACTATCAAAAACAAAATTAATGGTTGTAAATTTAAAGTTTGTTTTAGTAGGTACGTCGAAGGTTATAAGGTAAAAGGGCGTTTTAGTCAATTCTGGATTTCTCAAAATTCGAACGGAACACGTGCAAATTTTTCAAAGTGATTATAGTGGTTTTTCAAAGTGACTATAGTGGATATTCAAGTGATTATACTGGTGGTAGGACCTCATGTGAGTCCGCACGGGTAGGTACCACCACCCCGCCTATTTCTGCCGTGAAGCAGTAATGCGTTTCGGATTTAAGGGTGGGGCAGCCGTTGTAACTATACTGAGACCTTAGAACTTATATCTCAAGGTGGGTGGCGCGTTTACGTTGTAGATGTCTATGGGCTCCAGTAACCACTTAATACCAGGTGGGCTGTGAGCTCGTCCACCCATTTGAGCAATAAAAAAAACGTATATTAATTAACGAAGCGTCAACCATCGTCTTAATTAAAAGTACTTGACATGTCGTGACCCCGAGAGAGATGCGCAATCGTGTTAGCTCTCAAATAAGAACATGCTCTACCCTCTGTACCAGAAAACAAAGAAATACGATTCTAAGCGAAATTTAGTAGTAGTAGTAGTAGAAGTAGTAGTAGTAGCCTTACGACATTTTTCCACTTAATTACTATACTCTGCTCTTTTCTTTTTTTTATTGCCTTTGTAGGCAGACGAGCGTTCGGCCCACCTGATGGTAAGTGGTTACCGTCGCCCATGGACTTCAGCAATGCCAGGAGCAGAGCCAAGCCGCTACCTACTGCTCTATTTACTATACAGTGGTAGGCTGTAAGACCGCGCCATTTGGTACTATTATAACAGCTTTTGTTCTACTTAATAAATTTCTCTAAATAAAAATAATCCTTATAATTCGATTGCTTCGATTGTAACTGACAATATGTAAATACGGTTATTTCTGTTCATCTTTCTCCTTCATGCCTTGTTAAAAACTTCTTATTTTCTGGTCTCTTCCTACGAGTAGCCTTACGATATTTTTCCACTTAATTACTATACTCTGCTCTTTTTTTTTTATTGCCTTTGTAGGCAGACGAGCGTTCGGCCCACCTGATGGTAAGTGGTTAACGTCGCCCATGGACTTCAGCAATGCCAGGAGCAGAGCCAAGCCGCTACCTACTGCTCTATTTACTATACAGTGGTAGGCTGTAAGACCGCGCCATTTGGTACTATTATAACAGCTTTTATTTTACTTAATAAATTCCTCTAAATAAAAATAATCCTTATAATTCGATTGCTTCGATTGTAACTGACAATATGTAAATACGGTTATTTCTGTTCATCTTTCTCCTTCATGCCTTGTTAAAAACCTCTTATTTTCTGGTCTCTTCCTACGCACCTTTTGTTATTAGAGCTTGGTCCTTAAGTTGTTTGGTAATCCATCTCTTACATTTTGACCGTTGGAAAGAGTCGTATCCAGGTCCGGATTTAAACTTAATGCCGCTTTACCTAAACTTATAGTTTATATTATATATTTTATTTTGTCATATATGTATTCCAAAAACAAATAAATTTTTGTTTTTTTTTCTAACAATTAAAAATTTTGACTAAGCGTCACTCATAATTATATTATATTTAAAAAAATGTAATTTAACTTTTTTTTTATAGAAAATAGAAAAATCGATTATTATTTTAAATCTCCAAGGAAATAAATTGATTAAATCATTTTGATTATTAATTTTTCCCATAAGTGCCAAAATTATAATTCACAAATAATGGATGAATTGAATTTCTTGAATTATCAATTTAAAACAAAAATTATTAATTATTAGAATTAGTTAAATATATTGAGCAATCTTGATAAGTAAAAAAAAAATTTACTTTCTAAATTTTGCTGCCCTAAAAAATTTGCCGCCCTGGGCACTTGCCCCGACTGCCTCTAGTGTAAATCCACCACTCTTCGTATCGTCAACACCGAATCGAAATGACCACCCAGCCAGTACCCGGAAACCTAATAAATGTAATTATGCATTAAAAATTAAACTTTGCTTTTTGTTTATAGGTCACATTCCTGATGATGCCGCTGGAGATTGCGTGGGCCGGAACGGTGCAGTGGTTCGCAGGAGACCTGATGTGCCGCGTCATGATGTTCACGAGAACCTTCGGACTTTACCTGTCCAGCTTCGTTCTAATATGTATTGCCGTTGATAGGTGAGTGTACTTCTAATGGATTTATTTATTTTATTTTATTTACGTACACACAAAAAAGAAGACAGAGTAATAGGAAAATTATGTACAAAGGCACTGCTTATTTCTTTAAGAAGTCTCTTCCAGCAGACCTGCGAGAGGATTATGAGAATAATAATTAAAAGTGATGAGTGTGTGTAGAACAGCTAAAATAACAAATACAACATGAGAATTATAGTAATGCATATACACATAGCAAATATTGTTAAACTTGAATTCAAAGTATTATGAGTAAAACAGTGTATACGAAGAGTATAGAACAATAATAATTCGGTTGATGAGAGATAGAATTGCTTGACCTGGATGTATGTGAGCAAACGAATCTCACGTCCCTGGTGCTAAGCAGACACTGGGACAGATAGAGGCAGCCGCGGAAAGCCGCTGACCTTGGAGTGCCATCGTCGTCATCATCATCAGCCGCGTTTGACCACAACATACATGGGCCTCTACAAATTTACACTTCTGAACCCAATTTTCAGCTCTCTCAGCTTCGTACCAGCCAATTACTTTTCATATATCGCTTCTCCATCCAACCATAAGACCCCCTTACTAGCGCATTCCGAATTTTTATCTAAAACACTTTAAATTTGCAGCTAGCTTAAAAAATATTTGATTAAGTGAAGCAGTAATGCGTTCGGTTTGAAGGGTGGGATGGGTAGTCCTTGTAAAGATTTAGAAATCTTGTCTCAAGGTAAGTAGCGGTATTGTCGATGTCCGTGGGCACCAGTAACCTCTTAACTTCACGTGGGCCATGATCCCATCCACCCATATAATCAATAAAAATAAAATTTCGGGACTCATTCTGTTGTGACCTCTATAAGTTTCGCTAACCACTTAACATCTTGTTGGCTGTGAGTTCAGCTCCAATAAAAAGTACACAATTATAGCAATAAAACACTGAAGGCATAAATGGAAAGTGACACTTAAAACAACATTAAACACTATTCTTCTCGATTAATCTTTGACGCGCCAGTTATCAGTTTTACAGCCAATAAAATTATGAATTCACAGTGCGTAACGTTTTGATTGTAAAGGGATCATAAATATAACGTGCCATTTTAATTTGGCGTAACTCTCCATCATTGATGAAGCTAAGTGAGCATCATGACTCCTTCCTTCAAAGCAGTTTGTTGATATTTTTTTTATTGCCCTTGTAGGCATTCGACTTTGTAGTCGTCGTGGCCTAACGGATAAGACGTCCAGTGCATTCGTGTTGAAGCGATGCACCGGTGTTCGAATCCCGCAGGCGGGTACCAATTTTTCTACGATTGACTTCCACGGTGAAGGAATAACATCGTGTAATAAAAATGAAACCCGCAAAATTATAATTACTGGTGGTAGGACCTCTTGTGAGTCCGCGCGGGTGGGTACCACCACCCTGCCTATTTCTGCCGTGAAGCAGTAATGCGTTTCGGTTTGAAGGGTGGGGCAGCCGTTGTAACAAACTATACATGAGACCTTAGAACTTGTATCTCAAGGTAGGTGGCGCATTTACGTTGTGGATGTCTATGGGCTCCAGTAACCACTTAACACCAGGTGGGCTGTGAGCTCGTCCACCCATCTAAGCAATAAAAAAAGGCATAGGAGCATACGTGATGGTGAGTGGTTACAGTCGCCCATGGTCTTCAGCAATGCCAGGGGCCGAGCTAGACCGCTGCCTACTGCGCTGTTAGGTACTCTCAAGCCTCGTTTGAAGAAGGAAATGTCTGAATAAGCATCTCACCATCGAGTATGTCTGAATATACGAAATTCTTCAACGGTAAAATGCGATTCTTCTTTAGTTTCTTTGTAAAAGAGCTTGGTATTTAATCACCTTAGTAGATGGGATGTTGTTTTTTTATAGCATTCTTTTTGGTTGAGCTTTCGAGACGCTGCCTGCTATGAGGTAGGCAGCGGCTTGGCTCTGCCCCTGGCATTGTTGAAGTCCATGGGCGACGGTAACCACTCACCATCAGGTGGGCCGTATGCTCGTCTGCCTACAAGGGCAATAAAAAAAGGTAACAAGTCAGTAAACTGATATCTTCACTATTCGCCTTCGCGGTCTACCCGCAAATTTTATCTTATTAATTAAACCGTCAAAATAGTCTACTCGCGAAAACTGAATAATAACAAATCTATTAATTCTCCTAATACACCACATCTCAAAGACAACATAATCGAAACACTGATATCTCTAACCATGTAATACGAACGTGAATTCATGAATCATGGGTTCATCCGTCTTTTGGTTTTGAATTTTTATGTTTTTATTGCTTAGATGGATGGACAAGCTCACGGCCCACCTGATGTTAAGTGGTCACCAGAGCCCATAGACATCTACAACGTAAATGTCGCCACCCACCTTTAGATATGAGTTCTAAGGTCTCAGTATAGTTACAACGGTTGCCCCACCCCTCAAACCGAAACGCATCACTGCTTCACAGCAGAAAAAAGCAGAGTAGTGGTAACTATACGTGTGGACTCACAAGTAGAAACCCCCAGTAGAAATTATGCTTTTTGGTTCAGATAATCTCAATATCACCATCCCGTTGGGCGGTTCTTGGGGATAGAACCGTCCGTATCTAAGAATGTGAGCTTGGCACAATTACTCGGATCCGTCTACGGACCACGCTTCGTAAATTGCAAACGATCTCAATAAGATAAATCCGATAAAATATCTGCTTGTCGAACAAATCTTGACTGATCCAATTGACTTCAACGTTCCCCGGTCCGATCTATTTGTTTAGTTTGACGTCAGAGCTTTTCGTGATCCAATGAGCAATTAAATTTACAATTCACATCAAAGCCTTTGAAACACGGACTCTAGCGAATGTCGGAAAACTACTAACTAATTTTATGGATCACGTTTGATAGTTGCGTCAAAGGAATTCATATTATGTATGTATAGATAGACACGTTATTCAGAATGGTATGAACATTTCCGAAATAGTATTTCTATTTTCGCGTGTAGTTCGATATAACTAAAGCTACATTTACTAATGTAATAATGCTATATACTCATTACCTAATTTGATTATCTATATATTAATACGTGAAGCAAAAAATTTGTATCCCTTTTTACGAAAATTGCGTGGACATAGAAGTATGAAATTTTCCACACTTATACAGAATATAGAGAAGAAGTGCACAATGCTAATATTTTTTTAAAAGAGTGCATAAAAGATACATTAAATCAATAAAGAAAACATTACACACACTACATACCATGCATTTGACGCACACTCGCATGCATACTATTTATTGTCAAACTTTTGTTCTTGACGTCTGTGGTCAAACTGAGAATAGATTAAATATTGTTTGTCTTTATTAATATTTTTTTATAGTGTAGCCTTGGCGAAATTTGTGATTATAGAAGTATAAAATACAATCATAATAGTGTACAAACTTACAATTCCAATTAATTATAGTCGAATTTCGACTACTGTGGGACCTCTAGTTATATTAAATATATCGAGATGTGAAAGGCTGTTAGTTAGGTTTAAAAGCGACACTTTGCAACTTTACAAGAGAGCCATTTGATGGTTAGTTAACATTTGGAAAAAAATCCATAACAAAAAAACTTCCTCAGCTATTTGAATGGGGTAAACTTAAGTAAATGTCGCGTATTATGTGAAATTTGACTTAAACCAAATCATCTTTCACCTCTCGGTATAACTAGTTATGATTATTTCCGAAAAGGTTTAATTAGGAATCCTGTGTGTAGAGACAAAGATTTGTAAATATCGCTGAAAAGTTTTGTGAAAGTCAAAATACGAGAGCTTTAAATTAACGGTCTAACATGATGAGGTCGCATCGTTAAGTCGTTTGAGACGAAGGGCTCGGCGAGTAAATTAACCTACAGACACAGCCTGCTGAATTTCTCGTCGGATCTTCTCAGTGGGTCGCGTTTCCGATCCGGTGGTAGATTCTGTGAAGCACGGCTCTTGCTAGGATTCGTGTTAGCAACGTCGTCAGACTTGAGCCCTGTGAGTTCACCTACTAATTCGGAGAATCTAGAATAGCCCCTCGAGGTTTCTAGAATAGGTAGAAAAAAAAAGAGCAAAAATAATACCTATAGATCAAAAAGTCTGATTACATTACGTACTGGCTACTAGTTTTCCTCTCATAGCTTCACCAGCGTGAACAACGCTTTATATAGCCTAGCTGGAGACATATCATTGTGTACATCAGTGGAATATAAGTCTATATTATTTTCTAGGGTTCAAACTATTTCCATATCGATTTTCGTCAAAATAGGTTTTGTGGCTAGCGCGTGAAAGCCTAATAGACAAGCAAATACACTTTCGTATTAATAACATTATTTTCTATGCATCTTCTAACGTCTAGCTGTACAATAGTAATTGATCTCTATAATCTTGTGATAACTACATGAAAATCACTTCAGTATTACAGATGATGTGCCGGAATAAACAAAAAAATTGAAACGAATTCAAAAATTACTGATTTATGTACTATTAATATTCTTACTTTATTAATTACTCTTTTCAATGTACAAAAACATCGGACTCTATTATTTTATTATACACATTATCTATTGAGCAAATTCAAAATATTTAAACCAGGGAATCTTTAGGTAAAAATCATACGAATGCTAAAGACTGAATGATGAATAGAAAACATGAAACGAAAACAGTCTCCATTGAATAGGGTGTATGTTCACAAAAGAATTCTTCAAAGTTTCTTTATAATTTCCAAATACTTTTATATATTTAATAACTTTATACATTACAGACATTTTAATATCACGTGAATAAAAATCGATCTATATTATATAAAAATGAATTGCTGTTCGTTAGTCTCGCTAAAATTAGAGAACGGCTGGACCGATTTGGCTAATTTAGGTCTTGAATTTTTTGTGGATGTCCAGAGAAGGTTTAAAAGGTAGATAAATATGAAACAGCTGGGAATTAAATAAAAATAACAATTTTGTTTTCCCTTTGATGTGTCCCCCGTCGGACGGATTCCTTTTGTTTGTTTTAAGTTTATTTTATACAAAAGTTTAGGTCTTTTATTTAGCGATTGAGGCACTACGAAGTCTGCTGGGTCAGCTAGTTTTAAATAAAAGTTAACAGCTTCAGAGATAATTTATCGTGAAATGGCTGTTTAGCTCACTAATATGCGTTAGGATTAGCAACAAAAAGCATTAGCAGCAAGTTCTTTGTACAACCTACATAAATACGTCAGACAATCAGAAGCTACTAAGTTCCTTATTTTAATACTCGTAATTAAATTGCAACTAGAAGGAGCTTTAAAAAATGCCCGTTGTATCGAAGAATTCCGTCACTAAAGGTCATCCCGAGGTCATCGAGGTCACTCATGTCTCGATCACTGCTCCATGTTGTCCACTTTACTTTAGTGCTTTTTTATTGCATAGGTGGATGGACTAGCTCACGGCCCACCTGGTGTTAAGTGGTTACTGGAGCCCAAAGACATCTACAGCGTAGATGCCGCCACCTACCTTGAGATATGACTTCTAAGGTCACAGTAAAGTAAAACGGCTGCCCCAGCCTGTAAACCGAAACGCATTACTGCTTCAGGGCAGAAATAGGCAGGGTGGAGGTACCTACCCGTGCGGACTCACAAGACATCCTACCATTCCCATACAAACAAGCATAACCGTGATTCGATGTATCGTACTGTACTAATATGGCAATAGCATTATAATACTTTATTAACAGAACAGTCGGCCGTCTGGTGTAGTGAGTGACATGGTCATTACACAAGGGGGTCGCGGGTTTGAATCCCGCCAAGGGAAGATATTTGTATGATAAATATAAATGTCTTTTCCAGGGTTATGAATGTATATTAAATATATGTATGTGTATAATAAAAATCTTACATTTATATCCGTTATCTGGTACCTGTAACGCAAGTTCTTTACGAACTTATCACGGGACCAGTTAACGTGGCGTGATTGTTAGTAAATATTTATTTATTTATTTATTATTTATAGTTAGTAAAGTTCAGTCCGCGAGTCTGGTTGTAGTATTGACCGTGGGAACTCCCTACTCTAACCGCGTTTTGCTGACCCCGGCTGGAGATCGGACTTCGGGTGTAAGAGTACAAGGTGAAGTCGTTTGTTGCGGTAGGACCCTAAAAATATCCTTGGGCTCGCGGTTTGCTCCCAACATCTGCAGACCGTCACGTTCCACATACCCAGCGTGCCCTCTAAGCACGGATACTACGCAAGAGGTTCGGCCCCCTCCCGAATTCGTAATTCACTGCACCTTGCAATGGCTACATCATTGTTTTTAGATATAATATCTATAGTACTAGAACGAGCACGAAATCCACCAGTGAATACTTCTTGAGAAAACATTCAGTTGAATCCGAGATATGCACGAATGAATAAGTAAAGAGACAGAGAAAATTATTGTATCAAAAAACAGCTGGTTTAAAATTCCATAATCCTTCACAAATTAAGCTCTCTTCTATTTTAATTATATCAATGTACAGATACTTTCTGCGCGTTCTAAACAGACCTTCCACATTTCCTCGGCTCGAACGAAATATGCTTCTAACTCTTTTGTCCGTAGATCTTGTAGGTTGTATATTACTAAGTTCTCTAATGCTGACATCTTTTGTTTGTCACTTGTATCATAAAGAAATGCTATTTTGGATTATTTATAAGGTGATTTAGTCCGATGAGTATTATTAAGTTAATGTACATATTAATATGTGCATATTGTATTGCTTTTGTATTTTCTCGTTTTTTTTTTTTTTTTTTAATTGTATACAATTAGATATCCACCTCCGGGATCTGAAAAGCGAGACAATCGTATCATCTCTCTGGAGCGAGTCTCCAAATGGGGTGAATTGAACTTGGTTCAATTTAACCCGTTAAAGACACAAGTTTGCGCGTTTACTGCGAAGAAAGACCCCTTTGTCATGGCGCCGCAATTCCAAGGAATATCCCTGCAACCTTCCGAGAGTATTGGGATACTTGGGGTCGACATTTCGAGCGATGTCCAGTTTCGGAGTCATTTGGAAGGCAAAGCCAAGTTGGCGTCCAAAATGCTGGGAGTCCTCAACAGAGCGAAGCGGTACTTCACGCCTGGACAAAGGCTTTTGCTTTATAAAGCACAAGTCCGGCCTCGCGTGGAATACTGCTCCCATCTCTGGGCCGGGGCTCCCAAATACCAGCTTCTTCCATTTGACTCCATACAGAGGAGGGCCGTTCGGATTGTCGATAATCCCATTCTCACGGATCGTTTGGAGCCTCTGGGTCTGCGGAGGGACTTCGGTTCCCTCTGTATTTTGTACCGTATGTTCCATGGGGAGTGCTCTGAGGAATTGTTCGAGATGATACCGACATCTCGTTTTTACCATCGCACCGCCCGCCACCGGAGTAGAGTTCATCCATACTACCTGGAGCCACTGCGGTCATCCACAGTGCGTTTCCAGAGGTCTTTTTTTGCCACGTACCATCCGGCTATGGAATGAGCTCCCCTCCACGGTGTTTCCCGAGCGCTATGCCATGTCCTTCTTCAAACGAAGCTTGTAGAGAGTATTAAGCGGTAGGCAGCGGCTTGGCTCTGCCCCTGGCATTGCTGAAGTCCATGGGCGACGGTAACCACTCACCATCAGGTGGGCCGTATGCTACAAGGGCAATAAAAAAAATTAAAAAAATCATCATTCGATACCAGTATACTGGCCGTCTTATCCCTTTACGGTACTATCAATAATTGCCAATAAGCAATCCGTCTCTATTTATTTTCTTACTTCTTCCTGACAGTCCATCTAAGATAGCACGAATGGCAATAAACAATCAATATATTCCGGCCGCAAAAACTGACGAATACAATTAAACTCCCAATAACTTTAGCCTTATTTCTCAAGACGACGTGGTTTTTGTAAACGCCAAAATCCCAATCAATACTTTTAATGTAAGTATAACATCTAATCGATAGTTCTCGAAAATTTCCAGATACTACGCAATTTTGAAGCCTCTGAACGTGACTTGGGAAGCGACGGTCCGCCGCGCCATCATCGTGGCGTGGGTGTGTGCCGGCCTCGCGAGTCTCCCGCAGAGTTTCATCTTCCACGTTGAAGAGCATCCCGAAGTTAAAGGGTACGTTATTTTTGCCATCAGCGTTTTCTTAAACCACCGACCTTTGTGTCATTCGATTGTGTTTCCAGATAAAATTAACTACGTGAAAGATTTTTTAAGAACAAAGGATAATAAAATTGTGGTTATTTTATTGCTTAGATGGATGGACGAGCTCACAGCCCATCAGGTGTTAAGTGGTTACTGGAGCCCATAGACATCTACAACGTAAATGCGTCACCCACCTTGAGATATAAGTTCTAAGATCTCAATATAGTTACATCGGCTGCCCTACCCTTCAAACCGAAACGCATTACTGCTTCACGGCAGAAATAAGCAGGGTGGTGGTACCTACCCGTGCGGACTCACAATAGATCCTACCACCAGTAATTACGCAAATTATATTTTTGCGGGTTTGATTTTTATTACACGATGTTATTTTCCTTCACCGTGGAAGTCAATCGTGAACATTTGATAAGTACGTATTTCATTAGAAAAATTGGTACCTACCGGCGGGATTCGAACACCGGTGCATCGCTACATACGAATGCACCGGACGCCTTATCCTTTAGGCCACGACAACTTCTATTCGATTCTTAAAAAAACAAAGAATAATAAGATTGTATCAAACTAGAATTGGTCTTACTTCAATTAATTGTGTGCTAATTACCCGGTCATCGTTCTCGTCAAACCCGTTGCTTGCGAGCTCGGCGGCTCGGCGAGTAAATTAGCCCGCAGACACAGCCCATTGAGTTTCTCGCCGGATCTTCTCAGTGGGTCGCGTTTCTCATCTAATGGTAGATTCTGCCAAGCACTGCTCTTTTTAGGGTTAATGTTAGCAACGTCGTCAGGTTTGAGGGCGTCATGAAGCTTTAAATTTTCCAACAGTAGGTATTTTTAGATAGCATTTTAAGATTCGTTTTTTATGAGTATTTCTCTATTAACAACGAATTCACGATCCTCGTGCCGGCTAATGATAAGGACATATAAATCAAACTATCAGCTGTTTCAGTTTTATCAAACGCACGTAGGCTTGAGTTTTTTAAATCGATTCTATTCTAAAACAGTTCAGTTGTAATTAAAAAACAAATTTCTATCAAATTTCGTCTGCTACTCTCCCTAATTCATATTCTAAATGTGTTACAGCGTATCAGAAGCTTGTACAGGTGGTACTACACCATCCTATTCAACTGTGCATGAATGATACCTTGAGGCTTCAAAATGGGCGTTAATTTTGCAATATAAATTAATTCTGGTAACACCAGTTCAAGTGCAAACTCGGATAGGCATTTGAAACAAAATGAATGAAAGTATTCGGTACAGTTTTTCTTATTACAGTTTTTGCTTATTCTCGCTTCCTTGATTCACGGATAAAAGAAAAGCGACCCATTTCCTATATTCGCGAATAAATATTTCTTTATTCGCGCACCTAATCGCTACATCGGTACATACACATCAAAAAAGATTCCAATGTGTACTTGTTTCTTCTTTTCGGACCGGACACCCCCCCCCCCCTCCCCTAAATGATCTATATGATCCCATATATGTAAATTACCATTCACTGTTCACGGTTTCTATATTCGCGGCATATTTACGTAACATATAACCCACGAATAAAGTGCTTTTAATGTACCTACATAATCGTTTGATAAAACTGGTACCTATCCCAGAATCTAATAGCGAAAACTAAACGAATAAATAACATCTCATTTACGATATAAATAGTACTAGAGGTCCCGCAGTAGTCGAAATTCGACTATAATTAATTGGAATTGTAAGTTTGTACACTATTATGATTGTATTTTATACTTCTATAATCACAAATTTCGCCAAAACTACACTATAAAAAATATTAACAAAGACATACAATATTTAATCTCAATTTGACAACAGACGTCAAGAATAAAAGTTTGACAATAAATAGTATGCATGCGTGTGTGCGTTAAATACATGGTATGTAGTGTGTGTAATGTTTTCTTTATTGATTTAATGTATCTTTTATGCATTATTTAAAAAAAAAAAAATGAGCATTGTGCACTTCTTCTCTATATTCTCTATAAGTGTGGAAAATTTCATACTCCACCGTCCGCGCAATTTTCGTAAAAAGGGATACAAAGTTTTTGCTTCACGTATTAAGATCAAGATATCACTATATCTTGCAATTCAGGTAGGTGCTTGTGAAAGCCACCGGTTGCTAAAACATCTCCACTCGCTATAAATAAATCACTTATCCGAGTATTCCGTGAACGAATCTCGGCTGGAATACCAATAAAATTGTTACGTGTAGCGTCAGTATTGAAAATTGAATTCTCCCCATCTTTGATCCCGTATCGCGGTGTTCGAAACACGCGGCTTACGAGTGTTCGTAGTAGCTTCGTTGTGTAGGGCTGTCAAACGAGAAAAAAATATATTGGTTGTCTGAAAATTTGTTTATGATCGATAGTTTTATGTGATAACTTCAGTAGAGCAACGTAAGTCAACGTATTTTTTATTGCTTAAATGGGTGAACGAGCTCACAACCCACCTGGTGTTAAGTGGTTACTGGAGCCCTTAGACATCCACAACGTAAATGCGCCACCCAACTTGAGATATAAGTTCTAAGGTCTCAGTATAGTTACAACAGTAGTACACACGTACGCATATAAACTCATTTATTTATTGTTAGGCTGTGGTCTAATTGACAATAGAATAATATTGTTTGCCTTTAAAATTATTTATCTATAGTGTAGCCTTGACGAAATTTGTGATTATAAAAGTACATATAATCTTTGTCAATACAAGCATAATAATGTTCAAACTTATAATTTAAATTGATTATGGTCGAATTACGACCACTGGCCGACCACTATTAATGTTAAAAGGGTATTGGCATCATGAACGAAATATTAATGAGCCGTGAAATGCCCTGAACCTGATTACACATTCTCCCGTCAAACAGAATTATTACATTCTTAGAGAGACTTAATTAAAGTATTAATAATTAGTCATAAATATACGTCTTTTTAAAATAAGCTCTATCAAGTACCATGAATCCAATAAAATGAACATAATTAAAATTAGTTTTATAATGACATAGCGGCCCGCCCCGGCTTCGCTTGGGAAGCAGCGCAAGCGATATAAATAATTTTAGATAATTTTTTTACACATTGGGTTACTATATTGGAGTTTCAAATTATTAAAATTCAAAAGTTAAATAGAGCTTATGACGCCCGGGGACAGCTTAGTTTTTCAACCGTGAAAGAATTTTTTAAATCGGTTCAGTAGTTTCGGAGCCTATTCAATACAAACAAACAAACAAATATTTCTTCTTTATAATATTAGTATAGAAAACTTTAAACATAAGTGTACCTAATTAAAAACACTTCTACCCTGCCAAAAAGAACATCCGAAAATGACGAAGGAAATATTTAGATTATTTGAAAAAAGAAAAAAAATTGAAGAAACAAAAAAAACTAAATGTGTGGTGTCGTGGGACACCGGATAGGAACGAAGTTCCTTATTATAAAAATATTAATTTTAAGTTCTATTCGAGGTATAAAGAAAATGATTATTCGGGTATACATTTTTATTATGATTTTTTTCATGATAAAAATAAAAATAAAATACAAAGTTATCAACTTTATTTTAATCACAATGATTTCTAAAAAATATATAATAATAATATACAAAGAAACAGCTATTTATGTGATTAATAATAATTAAGCCAAAAATAATAACCGTCATCACGTAGACTACATTAGACACTGTATAGCCATCATACTAAGACTATACATAAATAATAAAAATTTTACATTACGGATGTTTTTTCCCGGTACCCCTCCGCATCGTNTCGTGGGACACCGGATAGGAACGAAGTTCCTTATTATAAAAATATTAATTTTAAGTTCTATTCGAGGTATAAAGAAAATGATTATTCGGGTATACATTTTTATTATGATTTTTTTCATGATAAAAATAAAAATAAAATACAAAGTTATCAACTTTATTTTAATCACAATGATTTCTAAAAAATATATAATAATAATATAAGGTATAAAGAAACAGCTATTTATGTGAATAATAATAATTAAGCCAAAAATAATAACCGTCATCACGTAGACTACATTAGACACTGTATAGCCATCATACTAAGACTATACATAAATAATAAAAATCTTACGTTACGGACGTTTTTTTCCGGTTAGGGTACCCCTCCGCATCGTCCGATAAGGAACTTCGTTCCAAAAACAATCCAAACTTAGCATTATCAATCTACACACAAAAGTCGCTATACCGCCGCTCTTGCGTTTTACCTTTTTTTTTTCAAAAAATCCTACACATTTTTTTTTTTTAACTACATACAACTAGCCAACATACAAAAATACTCTTTGTAAAAATGCTCTTTAAAAAACAATTTAAGCACGGATAGTGACACCCCTGCGATTTCTTGTTGGCCAACTAATGGTTGACGGATGATTGATGAATATCTCGCGCGAGATAACAAATAACACCGTCTCGACAATAGCCCCCTCTGTTTTAGCTAACAGCACATACGTCTTTGTCCGAATATTATGTTAGTAAGGTTTCGATCATCCCTAGCCTAATATTCTATAAGCTTGATTGAACGAAGTTACACAGATGTTATTGTAGGAATTTTGATATTGTTTGGTAAAACTAGACAGTAAAATGTATGAAAAAGAGATTATTCGCAAAAATATATAATTATGTCTTGTCTTGACAATGGAATGATCAATGAAAATGCTTTTAAAAGAACGCGTATCGCGAATTTTTATGATATAAATAAATACATGATAACAGGAAAAAAAACACGGACGGTTATCCGGCCTCAAATTAGGATTCCCTGTGTTATATAATGGGTACCAGAGACTGACATACATACTTACATATGTTTAAATATATACATAAATAGATAGTAAACACCCAGAGAAATAATAAACAAACCTGTTTATCACAGGAATGTTTGCCCGATGTGGGAATGGAACCCACGACCCCCGGCGCATCAGTAAGGGACGCTAACCAATGCACCACCACGTCAGTCAAATTATGCCAAAATTAAATCGAAATGCCTCGCTACCGATCCTATTTACAGTTCTAAATCTTCGCTGCCACGATACTAGACTTAGTGTCTTCAAGTCTGTTTGATTTCAGTTATTTTCAATATGTACAATATTGTATTACCTAAATCGTCTGTGACCACAAAAATTGTTTCTAGTAAACGTCGAAAATAATGGATTAACAATAAAACGCCTGATTTAATCGTAAAATGAGTTTTAATTATTGATCGACCTATTTTCAGCAGTGACATCCGGAGGCTGAACAAAAAGAAAGTTACCGATTTAAAAAGAAAAAGAACAAGATTCTCAGTGCGACTTTTTTAAAGTGTGTTTATCTCGAAACTTTTTTTAGATATCGATTTGACCGATTTTATTTTAATTATGAGTATTAATGCTTATCATGTCCCATCTCAATTTTATAAAGATGTCTGTCTGCTCAGTAGTTTTTGAGTTATCATTAATAATGCAAATTTAACTGACTGTAGTTGACTACATTGATGATGTACTGATTTCATTTTGTCGAAGTCTGTTCTCTTTGTATTAAAAACTTGTATTAAATTATCATTTTAAAATTGAAGACGATTCTATTTGATAATGAAACTTTTTCTTTACAGTTACAACCAATGCGTGTCTTACGGCTCCCTGCCAACGGAGAAGCATGAATTCGCTTACTTCCTAGTTAACATGATCCTTATGTACGTGATCCCACTGGTCTCGACGCTTTATTGCTCCTGCGCAGCGCTATTCGAGATCATCAGGAGAGCTAATACTGCTAACGGTAGGTCAGATGTAATGACTCAAAGTTTTAACTTGCAAAAAGGAAATTGAATTGAGAAGACTCCGCCAATGAGACACATTTATCGACCGAATAAGTACGGAACCGTACTATGTTCGCAAACTTGGTCCGAAAACATTTGATTTCCGCGGCGTTAACAATTACAATAGCTCACTGACTCACAATGAGATTTATCATTCTTAACTGAACGAATCAAAGAGCCGGGTCACTTGAACCACACGAACGAACCAGTCAATACGGAGCTAGCAATTCGCTAAGAGATTCATTCGATTTAGAATCTAAAAAATATTGATTAAGTTAAATTATATGGAACACTACTGGCAATTAGGTATGGTAATGATATGAGTCTCAAAAGGTAACAAAATATATCAATTCTTACTGCCGCCTATCTGCAGTAACGAAACATTATTAAGCTAAAGCGTAGTCTTATCGTTTCTAAAAGCAATCATTAATAACAAAATTGATAAAGCTCGAAGTTAATAGATGAGTATTACTTATGAGCGGGATGTGTTATATGAGTGTAATAGATTGATGAAAAATGAATTAGTCAGTACAGGAAAATAGATCGTGTTCACTCACAGACCACTGAGTTTCTCGCCGGATTTTTTCAGTAGGTCGCGATTCCGACCCGGCGGTAGATTTTGCGAGGCGCTACTTTTTTAGGGCTAGTTATTGCAAATTTTCTCAGGTTGAGCCCGTGAGCTCAACTACCGGTCCGCGCGTAGCTGTATAGCCCCTTAGTAGAATAGGTAGGGAAAAAATCGTGTTCAAAATATATCGGATAATTCAATTTCCTTGGTGGCTTTTTGGTATTCGTAGGAACGACCATTCTGCCTATTTTTTCACCGAAATTACATCCCGGCTCGAAGGATGAAAAGCCATTGGGCATTCCAAGTGACATTTTCACCTCATATCTCAAAGTGTACGTACGATACTATCCACGCTATGGCGGGCGTGAACTCCAATAACCACTTAACAATAGAACTAATAACAATCAACAAAAGTAATCGCTGACTACAATTTGACCGTGACAAAGTTGTATTGTCATACTTCAGTTATCACTAAAAATTTTTTTTTTTTGGGTCGGGGGCCGAACCTCCTACGAGGTCCCCAAACCAGCGGTTTTTTTATGAACATTTATTTATTATTTCCGAGTTTTTGAACAATTTACAGTTTTCTATGATCACCCGTATCGTCCATGATTAGATTAAACCGTAAGGTAATATGTGACATGCAAAAGCCGAAGAAAGCACTGAAACCTTTTGTATACCTATGGTATGTAATCAGTATTTTAAACATCTCCCAACCCCATGACTGTACAGTGAATTTTGAAAAGTAAACCTTTCGGTGTAAGGCATAAAGACGTTTTTCGAATATAAAAAGTCATCAGACTCAGACTCCACTCTTTTTGTTTCAGATAAGATGCGTCGAAGCGGCATCGGTCTTCTGGGAAGGGCTCGCGCTCGCACCCTCAAAATGACGGTCACCATAGTCCTGGTCTTCTTCACGTGCTGGTCGCCGTACTACTGCTACTGTCTGTGGTAAGCTTACTCTTCACTAATCAGTGATTGACACGCAACTTGATTACTGCGTTTATTTGGAGAAGAACACAAAATCTAACGCGATTCTGAAATAGCATTTTTTGTGTTGCTTAGATGGATGGACGAGCTCACAGCCCACCTGGTGTTAAGTGGTTACTGGAGCCCATAGACATCTACAACGTAAATGCGCCACCCACCTTGAGATAGAAGTTCAAAGGTCTACAGTTAGTAGACCTTTGAACCCTTTGACCCTTCAAACCGAAAAGCATTAATGCTTCACGGCAGAAATAGGCAGGGTGGTGGTACCTACCCAGGCGGACTTACAACAGGTCCTACTAGTAATTACGCAAATTATAATTTTGCGGGTTTGATTTTTATTACACGATGTTATTCCTTCAACGTGGAAGTCAATCGTGAACATTTGTTAAGTACGTATTTCATTAGAAAAATTGGTACCCGCCTGCGGGATTCGAACACCGTTGCATCGCTAGATACGAATGCGCCGGACGTCTTAACCTTTAGGCCACGACGACGACATGAATGGATGAAATATGAATTTGAATGAAACTAACTAGATTTAATATTTCCAGGTATTGGATTGACAAGGAATCTATAAAGAACTTGGATCCGGCATTGCAGAAGGCGATGTGGCTATTCTCATGTACCAATTCTTGCGCGAACCCCATCGTTTACGGAGTATTTAATAGGAACAGGTGGAATTGGCGAGCTGGAAAGGTTCGTGTTTAGAAACTATGGTTAATTTAATTCTAGATTGTAGATGTTTAATGATAATCACTACATAGTATAAAACAAAGTCGCTTTCTCTGTCCCTATATCCCTATGTATGCTTAAATCTTTAAAACTACGCAACGCATTTTGATGCGTTTTTTTTTTAATAGATAGAGTGATTGAAGAGGAAGGTTTATACGTATAATAATATCCATTAAATAGTAGAGAAATCAATAACAAATTACAGTTTCCGAAGCAAAGCGAAGGCGGGTCGCTAGTATAGATAAATAGCTAGTATAGACAAATAGATAACTTATTAGGTGATTAAGAGGCTTAGTCTAGCACCACTCCATCTTTTCCAGAGAATGAAGGAATTCACCAGAGAATGGGCAGAGTAGCGTTCTTTGAGTATTATACCAAAAAACTGCGATCTCAAACCGGCATTTAGTGGTGTTAAGACGTATCGTAAGCCCCCACAAATCAGCTTCATTTAAGTCTTCAATGATGTCTATAGGCTCTGGTAATCTTTAGGCGGACCGTGAAAAAAACTAATTTTTTTGGAACGAAGTTCCTTATGGGACGATGCGGAGGGGTACCCTAACCGGGAAAAAAAGTTCGTAACGTAAGATTTTTATTAGTAATGCACACAGTGTACGACTTAAATCTGTAATAACGTACAAAAAATAACATATTTTTTTATCATTCATTGACCACGATCTCAGAGCGTTCGTTTGCGCAATATACTAATTCTTAAGTAAACAGCTGTGAATTAAGTGTACCACAATAAGTTCGCACGTTACCGAATGACCGTGGGTTGTTGCGAAACCTCCACTTTTATTTTCTTTATACCTCGAATAGAACTTAAAATTTTTCAAGAATAGTTTGAGTACCGGTAAAATGGGGCGATTAGGGACAAATTCCAACTTTATGACCAATTTTAAGGTAGTTGTTGATGTATATAATGCTATATCAGGATCAAAATGATTGAGTCTTGGGGGCATCTTTGTTATCCAATTTAAAACTATGCAACTAGCATTCCAGTTTAAGCAAAAAAAGCAAAAATAGGTGTAATCCCTATTTACCCGGAAATTGCGGTTAATTGGGACGAAATGAGAAATTTGCTAGGGTGGGCACTACTGGGTTTTAATTAATTAATTTATTTAGTTGCACCAACAAAGTGATCATCAATAAAAAACATTGAAAAACTGACACTCTGAACAAATATTAAAAATTTTATTATGTATTACTTAGACATTAATCCACCTTGAGATTTCATTGTTCTTATTACATGTCTGTGCAAAATTGACTTACTTATATTAAATTGCTTAGCTATTTCAACTAAAGACTTATTCAGACTTAGATAATATCTCTTATAAGGCTTTGCACTCTTTGATACGTACACGCGAGGCATATCTAAAAATAGAAAACAATACGTAACTGATAATATAAATATTTAATAAACAATAAAATAACACATTGATAGTTTTGAATAAAAGTTCTAGACAAAAACATCATGAAAAACCAGATTTTTACCAACAAATTTAAAAAATATTGTTATAACTACATAGACAACCCTAGAAACCTGTACCTATTTATACTTAGGCCGTTTCCATTTCACGTATTCTCATCCCAATTGACCCCTTTTTCGTTGTTATTTGTACCTAAGACGTCCCCAATATCCCCAAAAACAACAGATTTTTACATGTATTTTTATTTTATCAAATACATTAAAACCAATAACAACTGAGACTTACCTTTAATATACGTGATGGTTCAAACACTAAATAACGTTTATAAATCACAGTCGTCTTCTATTATTATCAAATATATAAAAGAGAGCAAAGTTTCTAGCACTGAAATAATTACCACCACAGAAAGTTAATTTGAAACGCGATTTTTTATAAGTTAGCAGCTATTATCATGCATATTCAGAGTTGTTTTGTAAACTTTCAACATTCTACTATTAAACTACAAAAAATGGAAGATTTTGCAACGAATTTATAAATAATATTGAGTGTCGAAAGATTTTTCCGGTTTTTTCCCGATTCGCCTCTCAATCCCTAATCGCCCCATTTTACGTTACACCTTTTATGAAAGTTACGTGAAACTAGTACTTACATGTTTTCGTGTTATTTTATTAAATTACAGTTTCAGAACGGGCGATGCCGCAGCGGCAGCGGGAGGAAAGGTTCGCGTCTCCCGCACGGCGAGTCTACGGAAATATCTGCGGCCACCCTCTCGCGAGCGAGGCACTCGAACGGAAGCGATCACAACGGCCGTCGAGATTCATCTTATGCAAACCAAAACGGACCTCAAAAGCACTGGAACACGATCAACAATAACCACGTAACGAACGGTATGGTTTAATAATAGAATAAAAACTCGTAGTGAAACCGATTTTAATGTATGGTATGCCTAATAAATATTATAAGTCGCAAGCTATTTATATGTAGCTAATAAAAATAGCAGTTATAGAACATAAATATTGGAATTCTTGTGAAATTTTAAAGTGTTTAAGTGGCGTTAAATGCATTTTTTTTACCGCCATTTAATGTTTTTTTTTTTTAAGTTACATACATAAAGGTGTTTCTTATTACTTTTAAAGTTTCAACGTTTATTGATATTATATATTATTATATAGTTCTAGATAATATATAAGATGTGCACGTTAGAATTAACAACCGTAATGGTGATAGAATTTAATGTACCATAAGGATGTTTAGATAAAAATGTGAGCTGTAATCTATGTAAATATTGAAAAATAATATTAAAAGCTATGGGATAAACTGTGAATCTTCCAATAAAAGGAAGCATCAGTTTGTAGCCACTGGCCACATGGTCTTCCAAGCGGTGTTCGGAATTTGTGATTGTCGAAATTACTGAAATGTAGTCACAGCTACCACTAAATAAAAATTTACAGTAATATATTTATGTACCGTGGCTTTATCTAATCAAAAGTAAGCCGCTGTCTTTTTTTCGATCCCGGGCGTGTATTGAGGCTTACATTGAATATTCGTTAATTCAATCGAAAAATAAAATCCAGAGAGCAAAATACCTTACGAAATATATGAAGGATACGGCCAAAATTCCAGCTTCCAATGAAATATCAACTATACTATTGGACTAAATTTGTGAGTACATGCAACACCTTGTAATAATAAATAAAATTAACACTAGATTTTAATATATACTAAGTATTGATACTATGTATTGATACTATGTATTGATACTATGTATTGATACTATGTATTGATACTATGTATTGATACTATGTATTGATACTATGTATTGATACTATGTATTGATACTATGTATTGATACTATGTATTGATACTATGTATTGATACTAGGCATTCATGTGAATGATTTTAGAGGTAAGCTCGAGCTGAATGGAGTGAGATTATGTAGCAAATGAAAATACAGACAAGAATTAATGCAATTTTAATACTCTTTTAAAGATATGGCGTTCTAAATTTAAAAAAAACAGCGTTACCTTTTTTATCAGAATTTGGACCGAATTTTTTTCTAAACCTCTTAATATAGTTGCTAATTAAACAGATCTCAAATTGTTCACTTCAAACCTCAATATGTATACGTTAAATAGATTTAAGACAATAGCTCTTAAAAAGTATGTTTTTAAGTTCAATTAAAAACGAACAAAAGCGATTAATATTGATATGTCTATTTTGAATTTGGTTGATGCATAGTTGCTTTCATATTTTTTGCTAAATGTAAATTTGCTTGGCAAATGTAGATCATTTTATCACTAACGAAAAGTCTTTACGTCTGTCCTACCTGCATTTTCCATGAGGACTGCTCTACTGGGACTTATGTTATAGTACTACGGGTTTCAGTTATCCTCTTAAAACTACGTGCCCGTCTTGGACGTCTTTGTCAGGAATAGTTTCAGCTTCTATCTTCTTTTCATCTGTCATAATCTGTCACCTGTCATCTGTCATCATGACAGATAAAACCAAGTAGGTACCCACTGAGTTATAGAACAACATTTATTTTATTTAAATAGACAAGATGGCCGCAGAAATAAGTCAAGTTTTCGTACAAATTGTAACATTCCATGAGAACGCTTAATTTTATTGTAATTATGTGAAGTTTATTTATTAAGACTGAAGGATATTAAGAAAGATTCTTAAAGAGTTATTCCGATATTTATGTTAATGTTGTTTAAAGGTTGTTTTCCTATAACAGATTTTAGGTTGTTATTGTTCAAAGGTTTTAATGTAATATATACTTGGCTGTGAGGTGATTGATCTAGCAAAATAGAGATGTGATTTTTGTACCAAAATTTTAAAAATAATTTAGTCAATGAATAAATGAATGAAATGAATTAAAGGCTTTTAATGATTCATCACATTTTACTCTGTACTCGGGATCTTAATGGTTAACATTGCATGGTCGATATTAGTGCTAATACTTCTACTTTTTATCAATTTGAAAAGCCCGCAGTATCTTAATCTGTCTTTCAGACGCGAATTAATCATAGGTCCCAATTTGAAGGGCGGGGTAACTATTGTTGTAGTCATCGTGGTCTAAAGGATAATACTTCCGGTGCATTCGTATCTAGCGATGCAACAGTGTTCGAATCCCGTTGGCGGGTACAAATTTTTCTAATGAAATACGTACTTAACAAAATGTTCATGATTGACTTCCACGGTGAAGGAATAACATTGTGTAATAAAAATCAAGCCCGCAAAATTATAATTCGCGTAACTACTGGTGGTAGGACTCTTGTGAGTCCTTAGTAGTACTCGTAGCGCCAGCTTGATTGTACCTCTGACTCCATACTGCCTATGTTCTCCATGAGCCTCGATGACCACTGATGAGTCATGATAATCATAGCCCGTACGCCTCTCTGATTGAGAATTAAAAAAACCGATCGAATCTCAAAACGACCAGACTCGTGTATCTCTTGATTCATCAAACATATACCCTCAGGCAGACTGACTACTCAAACGCAATAAATTGTTGTAAAAAAACTAATAAACACTACATTCATATTTTTCCGAAAACATTTTATTAAAATAAATAAACATTGATCGTACTCTACATGAAATACATTAATTTACATTCTAAATTACTGCTTAAATGAACAATAATCAAAAATGAGAGAGTGCCGCCAGGAAACCGTGAACCGATTCAATATTGTACTACAAAACACACTTTTCTTTACTTAGGCAAGTATATAAAGTATTTACTCCGGTTTTCGCGAACCGTAGACATAATTAAAAATCACTTTCATGCAGTTACTGTTGCAGTATGCAGTTGGAAGAGCGCCCCTAGCGGCAAACGTACACAAACGTTCCAAATCCATACAAATTTTAGTTAACGTTTACGCTGTCGAGAACGTTAAAAATTTCGCAGTAAGCACACAGGTCGAACTGTGTAAGTTCACATACCAACCGTGCGTTGCTGAAAGAGCCCTATCGAGGCTATTAACGATTAGGTAAACAAAAAAGAGAAGCCGAGGATTTATTAGCTGCGCCAAAAGGGAGTTAATGGCCAGACTTAATAGACCCGGTTTCGCAATGGTGATAAGCAACGAACCACCCAAACGAAAAATTCATATAAATATCTAATAATTGATTGATTACATAATCGATATGATTTTTCCTTTTTACTGATCAAAGGTCAATGCTGCACACACACACACAGACCGATTACCGCTTGTGGAGTTTAGCTATGCTAAAAATAGCCATTAATACTTTTTCTGGTTTCCTTGAGAATCTTTGGCATTTAAGATAGAGCCTTTACACCGACTTATAGGGTTGAACTACACTAAAACTAACTTATGATATGAGAATAAATTATTATAGACAAAAAAAAAACTTAGCACTAGTAAATAATATTTTAGCGACAATTTGTATGACTTTCCTATATACTTTGGTAACGATATTAGAAAAAAAATGAAATTTAAAAATACATGCTTTCAATCGTTTGCAACGATTGAAATTGATTTATCTATTAGAATTCAACATACTCAAAATGTTACAACTAATTCAACATGATTGGAATGCAAGTTTGAGTTACTAAAAAAAAATTTAATACTCTTCCAAATTATGAGATTTTAAACTTAAATAATTTCATGTGAATTAGAATAAAGCTTCAGAATATTATAAAGTGTGTGGAGTCTACAGCATTATTCGAATAGACAAGAAATTATGTTTTTCAAAATCGGTAAAAATTTTGATAATCATATTTGATTTTTATTCAAGATAATTCATAAATTAATTTGTTTCAAAATATGAACTAAACTTTTTTTAAATTTAGATTCAATTGGGTAGAAAAGATTTTATTGTACACTATTCAAAACTTAATAAATAAATACGTATATGGTAATTTGTTCTATGACCTTTTCACGTGTTACTACTATTAAAGACAGCAACTTGAATTGCCTATATTGAAAGAAGATTTTTTTTTCTTTCAAATAGTGATTGGATTTTTTTATTGATAATTAAAAAGGAAATATGTGAGATATTATTGTGAAACCAACACAGATACTTCCGTTTTCGGATCAATTGACATGTTCAACAAAAGCAATTCGTACAATAGAAAAATATCCAATACGGTACAAAACTATCTATTGAGGCTAATTTATTATAGTAATTAAATGTCAAATACGCAATATCAATAACATTTCCAAAATGTGTAAGTCGGTAAAAATACTCTTTCAGTGAAAACTTTTTTTTATTCAGCGAAATCATGAAAATACCTTACGAATAAAATCGCGTTTAACGATATTCTACTTTGACTACACAAAATGGCACATCGAGGACATAGACACGTGTTTTTTTTTCTACTTATTTTAATCTAATAAGGTTACTATCTCAAAAAGTTTTAATATCATGCAACGTTAAAAACGTAACAACCGAATAATACCCACGTTATAAACACATAATTCAATTAACACACAGTTATCTTCGAATCATATCTACCAATCAGTGCATAGATCTACTAAACAAAGTAATTTTAGACACTTTAAAGAAGACGATCGTAGACATCTTAGAAATGTGAAACAAGAAGTGTGGAAAGAAACAATATAAAAGTTCTTGGTAGTTTTTACAATGTTTTTTCTCCCTAACGCCATATATTCGTGCAGGTGAATCGATTTTATTTATTTGCAATTATTTTATCAGTTTCCTTTAATCAAATTGGCACACAAATGCGAATCTCACATTTCATTATCGCTGGCTTATGAATAACGGCTGCTTATAACGTTATAACGGCTTTTTACAGGTCTCCCTTCTCTAGTTCGGTGAGTTCCTGTGCTTGCGCCGCCTCTCGTTCGTTTTGGATAGCTCGGCTCTTGTCGATGTCCCCTTGGGAGAGCGACGTTACGATAATGGCGCCCAAAGCGTCGCATACCACGTTTATCGTCGTACGAAAACGGTCACTGCAATTTAGAGATTTTAACCATAATTTATTTGAAAAAAACGTAGAATTAGGATCTAGAAACACTATCCCACTGGTGCACTTTTATTGTTCTCTTCCAAATACTTCCCTATTATTATAATAAAAAATTAAGTGACACTTTTTTACGCCTTGCTCATTGAATTGTCTTCGCCATCTTGCTTTTCTTCTGTCATTCTTTTTCCCTTTCTTACCGTGTTCTCTCACTCACATCTCAACGCTCCGTTCTACACTCTTTTCATACGTTCCGTTTTTTTGTTGTTTTTTATTGCTTATATGAGTGGACGAGCTCACAGCCAACCTGATGTTAAGTGGGTTTTTTTGTTTTTTTTTTATTGCTTAGATGGATGGACGAGCTCACAGCCCACCTGGTGTTAAGTGGTTACTGGAGACATTTACAACGCAAATGCGCCACCCACATTGAGATATAAGTTCTAAGGTCTCAGTATAGTTACAACGGCTGCCCCACCCTTCAAACCAAAAAGCATAGTGTGCATACATAGAAAATATATTTTAGTTCCGTTTGATCACAATTTAAGAAAATATAATTTATCCAGACACATCAGATAGTTGTCGTGAAAAATTGAAAAAAAGAACAAAAACACTTACAGCAGCCAGTCCACGGCTAAAATGATTGAAACGTCCTCAGCTGGAAGGTTGACGGTATCCAGCACCATGACCATGGTGACCAGTCCAGCTTGAGGAATACCGGCAGCACCTATACTAGCAGCTGTGGCTGTAACGCTGAAATTGCAGAATCGAAAATAGCATAGTCGTAGATTTGACTCAAGGTTGATCTCTTACCAACTACGAAATATCATTAAACGCTTAAGAATAAACTGCCTCCATTTAAGATTTTCTTCCATATCACGGATACAATGAAATACACACGAAAGAAAACCTACCCACAGACACATACACACACCCAAAACCCAAATACCTTTAACAAGGACACTCTTTGAATTATTTGGCATAGAATAGCAGCACCCTATCTCATGAGTATAGTAGAAGTAAGGGATCCACCAGAGAATGGACAACATTATTTGTTCCTTATGTATTTGTAAGTCAGCATCGTTTTGTACCACCGTCTTACCTATTTCTGCCGCGAATCAATCAGGCTTTTGGATTAGAAGGGTGGCAAAGTCATTATACAATAGAACTAAGGCTTTGATTTCATGTCTGAAGCTGGGTGGCGGCGTTGATTGTGTGATGTCTGTGAACTGGTAGTAGGAACTCTTGCGAGTCCGCACGGGTAGGTACCACACCCTGCCTGTTTCCGAAGTAAAGTAGTAATGCGTTTCGGTTTGAAGGGTGGGGCAGCCGTTGTAACTATACTGAGACCTTAGAACTCATATCTCAAGGTGGGTGGCGTATTTACCTTGTAGATGTCTATGGGCTCCAGTAACCACTTAACACCAGGTGAGCTGTGAGCTCGTCCACCCATAAAGGCAATAAAAAAAAGAACTCCGGTAACCACTTTAGATCAGGTAGACCGTTAGCCTATTATACTTCTAAGCAAATATAAATTAGCATTAATAGTGTGCTTAGTGCGAGCTTTTTAAAGTTCTCGATCGCTTTTTTTTTTTCCTACCTAAGCTGGTAGCCTAGAGAGGCTATTCCAGCGGAACCTTAACTAGTAGGTGAGCTCACGGAGCTCAAACCTGACGACGATGCTAACACGAACCCTAGCAAGAGTCGTGCTTCGCAGAATCTACCACCGGATCGGAAACGCGACCCACTGAGAAGATACGGCGAGAAACTCAGTGGGCTGTGTCTGAGAGTTAATTTTCTCGTCGAGCCCTTCGTCGCAAGCGACGGGTTCGATGAGAACGGTGACCGGTGCTTGAAGTACCTAGAAGCACCGTTAGTGGATCGGGAGGATCCGAGATGACGTGTTTTGGGCGACGTCGACTGCTTTCCATTCTTTCCGCAGGATCGGGAATGATTTCTCGATCGCGCAAAGTTAACTCAAATTTGTATGGAGTTGGAACGTTTGCCTATGTTTGCCGCTAGGGGCGCTGTTCCAGCGTTAACTTTTACGCTATCGAGAACGTTAAAAAACTCGCACTGAGCACACAGAAATCGAAATCTGAAAACGTCGTACTGTAATCAAGGTCAGCAACTACTAAACCAACGAGGAGTTTCAGAAGACTGACAAAGAGGTTATTTGCAAAATAATGAAAACTCACCTGACAGCAATGATTTTGCCGAACGTCATTTCGACCTCTCTCATTTGAGCGATGAAGATGGCCGCCACAGCCTCGTAAAGCGCGGTCCCGTCCATGTTGATGGTGGCGCCGATGGGGATCACGAACCTCGTGATGCGGGGGTCCAGCCCCATGTCGTCGCAACAGGCTATTGTTATCGGCATCGTTGCTGAACTGGAAATGAAGGTCTTCGTGTTATAAAGGATAAGACGCCCGCTTTATCGAACGACGAGACAGTGCCTACCGGTGTTCGAATCCTGCAGCCACCAAATACGTACTAGACAAATGTTCACCTACCATTTCCACGTAGAACGAATAGCATCAGGTTATAAAAATTATATCCCAAAATTTTGACAATAAGCCTCGAGTCTCATAGTGCGTGAGTGCCTTCACGTTGTGTCTATGGATCTCAGTAACCACTACACCAAGGACGGCATGGGCTCGTTCACCAATCTACACAACAAATAAATAAATAAATTGCACAGAAATTAATACTGGTTCATCGTAGTCTGGAGGAGCATTCCAATAAACGGTAAATCTCTCAATTACAAGATCTCTTCTTGTAAATCACCGAAACTAGACTTTTTACTGACCAGTGGTACTATTTTCCCTGTAGATAATATTATTTATTAATCTATGGGGTATGGTAACCACCGAATATCACGTAAACCATGAGCTGTTCCAGCCACCAAGATAAATAAAGTGCCCATTCGAATGCCTTCGACGCCCACAAACATGGCTCTGAAATCTCATCAAAAACTTCAGAATCACCACAGATATAACAACGTAAAACGCACCATTCAATTTAACCCATAAGGTCGAAATCTCAATGGCATCTTATACCGGCTGTACCACTGATAGAGAATATAGAGAACGAGAGCACAATGCTAATTTTTTTTTTAAATAATGCATAAAAGATACATTAAATCAATAAAGAAAACATTACACACACTACCATGTATTTGACACACACACGCATGGATAATATTTGTTTATTGTCAAACTTTTCTTATTGCATAAAGTCTATGGTCGAATTGAGAATAGATTAAATATTGTTTGTCTTTGTTAATATTTATCTATAGTGTAGTCTTGGCGAAATCTGTGATTATAGAAGCATAAGAAATAGTCTTTGACAATAAAACCATAATAATGTTCAAACTTATAATTTCAATTAATTATAGTCGAATTTCGACTACTGCGGGACCCCTAGTAAACAGAATACTACCTACCTAATTAATAAGAATCGAATTGATAAAGAAGTATTAGATCTCACCTGGATGCAGTACCGAAAGCAGTGGCCATGACCTGTCCCATTTTAGCGAGATAGCGACAAGGCAGCTTCTTCGTAGCCAATATGAACAGGATGCTGAGGGTCCCGAAGCCGTGAAGGAACAACCCCAACAAAACCGTCAAGAAGTATTTCCCCAGTCGGCCGACCAGATCCGCGAATGAATCTATCTCCATAATCTTCGCTGTTACCAGGAAGAAAACTCCCAGGGGTGACATCCTGAAACGTGGAGGGGATTTAATGTTTTAATATTGACAGACTTGGCCTGCCGTGATGCAGTACAATGGAGACTTCGATCTCATCTCTCGAGATGGGAAGCGGCATTCACGTGCTCCAATACTCATTGAATACCGGGTGGTACATGAACGCGTTTGTCTATCTATGCAGAGTGCAAACATATTATTTATTTAAAGACCTTGTATTGAAACTATTTATGAGGTTTTCTTGGGAACAGTGCAGTGGTTTCCCCTTGCCTTCTGCACTAAACCTTTTAGGAGCTATTTGGGCTCCTGGTCAGATCGGGTTAAGAAAACGGCTGATGGTAGTCTATACCATGCGATCCGTGACCAAAAACTATGAATGAAAGTCACATGTGACTGTAATTCTCAGCCGTGAAGGAACGATTAAGACGAAGAAATTGAAACTGTTACCCAAAATCACATTTCGTTGCATTTTAGATTTCAATGCCATGTTTATAGGCTAACCGTCAATTTCGAGCTTATTCGTCAAGGAAATAGCCCTCAGTACTTAAGATTCGGTTATCTCTCAAGATACGCCTATCTAGTAAGTACTATTTAGTAATAGTGCTTATAAGTATTTTTACTCGTCGCCTGCCGTGTAGGTCACCGGTGCCCTACGCGGCGTTCTGAAGTAAAAGTCGAGCTCTATTACTAAGCGTCCGGATTGCCTATCTTTGCTTTGTTTGTTAATGTACATGTTTTAGAGCCGTCAGATATCTTCGGATTCGTCTTTCCCAGAGTCTACTAGATGTTCCGGAGCCTTAGTAACATAATTACTTCGAATTCTCCACATAGGCACCGGTGACCAACACGGCAGTCAACGCATTAATAGTATTCACCAAATAACCCATCCAGTGATAATCATCATGGCTTCGGAGAGAGAATGGAAGAACTGCTGCAGCGGTCGGCTCAGGTCTCCCATTTTGCCGAGAGTTATGCCGAGAACGATGCTAAAGCACACCAGACCGAGGACATTGCTGCCTGGTGGATAGCCTCCGTCGATCTTGTAAGTCTCCAGTTGTCCTAGAAAAAACGAATAGATGTATTTAAACTCATATTTTGACCAGGCTATGTGATCAGACACTAAACATTCTATCTTGGGTTAGTTTTATTCATTTGAATTCTCTTTATCAATGGCGTCAGAACGTGTGGTCGCCCCGCACGGTTTGGCGCCACTATTTTACTTATTTCTGTCGTGAAACAATTATCCGCTCTAATTCAAAGGCCAAAAGATGTTATTCCAATGCAATTGAATCTTTAACCTGATGAATTTAGTTGAGCAACACATTATATAGTGGTGTCCATGATCCGGTAACTGCGTTCCGTGACTTTCCCACCCATCTTGAGACATGAGTTGTAAGGTCTCAGTTTTAACAGTACAACGACTGACCCGTCTTTCAAACCGAAACGCTTTACTGCTTCACGGCAGAAATCGGTAGGTTGGTTGTACCTACCCCTGCGGGCTCACAAGACGTCCTACGACCAGTCAGAAGTGGATGCATGTAACTTAGCTAGCTTCGTGTTTGTAACCAATTGCACAAATGCTTACCTTTTATCATTTTCGGGTCTTTTGGGTCGTAAATTAGCTTCGTTCGATACGAAGCGATCGTGGCTTGAGGTATGTTCTCCGGGAAGACGTTCCTTTAAAATGAAAACATAATTATTTTTAAAATGTAACAACTTCATTAACGATTCTTATGCGGAATTTACATTACGAAATTAGTGTCATGCATCTTGAACTCAGTTTCACGAAAGTAGTTTCGATATATGCGAAAGTAATTTCGTAAAAAAATTTGTGTCGCGAAACTCACAGTAACGCAGTAACCATGGCGCCATCAACATCAAAGCTATATTTTGCTATATTCAATGTAGCTAAAGAAATTCTTATATATAAACTTTAAAAATAAGACTATCATGAAAAAAAAGACCTTAGTAGATTCGAGGATGGTTAACAAGAAGGCATTCAGGTGCAACGAAGTTAGTCTCTGAATTAGCAGATGAAGATCCTGAGAGCTATAAAAACTATTTTCGAATGAGTGAATGAGTGATAGATAATTTTAATTTTTTACTTTAGATGTTTCGGGTCCTAGAGACACTGTTGTCGGTGATATTCATTAATGAATTGTATATTTTTATTTGTACTCCATCGTTGGTTTGCCATTTTCAAAGTCTGAAGCGCGCGCTACTAAAAGTACACACGTCCGCACACCGCAAGCACTTTCGTGACAGTAGTTTTACGTCGCGTCTACACTATGAAATTAGTTGCTTGACACTAATTTCACCAAAATATCGCGCAGGGCACGAAACTAATTTGCATGCATGAAATTAATGCATGCATTACGAAAATATTAAATTACCTATACGTGAAACTGTTGGTAAAACTAATGTCACGAAATTAGCGTCATGCCACTAATTTCGTAATGTAAATTCGCCTTTATAGTTACTGCAGCGCGATACGTTGTATAGTGTACTAGAGTTGTGAAATGACTTATTTGTTTATGTTCGATGACGCGATAATTTGACGCTGAGCAGTTTTAATCCTTTAAAAAAAACACGTATGACACTCGGGAACTTCCGCGGTAAAGCTATTGTATAGCATTTTTTATCAACTTATGCAATTATAATAAGACAATAATAATTTAATATTAAAACATAAAATAAGACCACGCTATATTTATAAACATTTGTCATGATGCGGATGCAGTGCGACGTCACGCCGCGCGCTTATTCACAAACACTACACAAGCGCAACGTGTAAATGTGTTGAACGCGAGCTACATTGTAGGCGGAGTGGGGGTTGTTAGGTTTTCTTTTCGTTACGGAATTCCTTGATTCGGTCGCCGCGCGAAACACGGACATTACGAATTCGGTTAGGAATGTGGTTAAATTTATTCAAAGATGTAAACGCCCCGTGGCTAGGGGGTGCGATGACCTTCGAAGAGTGACCGGAAAGAGATGAATGAGGAGAGCCGAAGACCGAGCTCAGTGGTGTGAATCGAAGAGGTCTATGACCAGCTGTCGACAACTGTGGTCTGATGATGATGATGATGATGATGAATGATGTATTTGAATTGCATATTTATTTTGTAAATAAACCGTACTTTTACTAAACGGATTTTCAAATAAAAATATAAAATAAAACATCCTAAACAAAAATAATTGTAATTAAATCAAAATTAATTAGGTACAACGAAGAAGACTTTATTCGTTTTCATTGACAAAGAAATTAATTGAACATTGAATAGAATAAGAATTGGATGCGATTTAAATATTTCCGTGGGGTCTGCAATTGGTTCGCGAATGAAAACGGAATTGCTTTATTGAACTGGAAGGAGCGTCAGCGCTGCTCCTTGTTCGATAGACGAAGGTCGTAGCCACTCGTAGCGCTTACGTAGACATCAAGTTTCATTAACAATCACTACATAGTATAAAACAAAGTCGCTTTCTCTGTCCCTATACGTGCTGTCCCTATGTAAGCTTAAATCTTTAAAACTACACAACGGATTTTGATGCAGTTTTTTTAATAGATAGAGTGATTGCAGAGGAAGGTTTATATGTATAATAACATCCATTAAATAGTGGAGAAATCAATAATAAATTACAGTTTCCGAAGCGAAGCGAGGGCGGATCGCTAGTTACATTATAAGTTAGATTAGTTTTCGTTATCGTGTTGTTTTGTTTTATTAATGTAAGGAACGTTGTTGTACAAATTCAGCGCTATATGTCTTGTTTTATCGTGCGCATATAACTTGTGTTGCAAGCCAGATTTTGTTTCTTTTTACTTGTGTTTTTTATGTGTCTCTTTAGCTTGTGGTGTGTATTTTGAGCCTAATGAATAAAAAAATAAAAAATAAAAAAATAAAATTTTAGTTGTCTACCTATGATGGTAACCAGGAAGCTAATGCCAGCTTAACCGAGCGAGTACGTGAGCTCACGGAGCTTCAACCTGACGAATTTGCTAACACTAGCCCTAGCGAGAGCAGTGCTTCGCAGGGTCTACCACCGGATCAGAATCGCGACCCAATGAGAAGATCCGGCGAGAAACTCAGTGGGCTGTATCTGAGGGTTAATTTGTTCGCCGAGCCCTTCGTCTCAAGCGACGGGTTCGACCAGGACCGGAAAGGTTCACGCGTGCCGGATATGATGAGTGTCTCTGTATATACTAGTACATAAGCATAGTTTTACCAAAACAATAAATGAGATCCCTACATATTATTCAATATTACTTACTCGTAGTATTAAAGTTGCACCTATGATTTTTGTTTTGTATGAATTTGATAAGCTATTTCTTTTTATTTATTTAGCACGGCTATACCTTTTATTTTTACCTGGTGCTAAGTGATCACCGAAGCCTATAGACATCAACCATGTCAATGCCGTCGCCCGTCTTGAGACATAGTCAGTGTATAGTGTTTGTACAGTCTGTGTGTCTATTATCTATATATGTATATATTTAGACGTATATAAGTACGTATATTAGTCTGTGGTTCCCACAGCATAAGGAATCTTGATTTAGGGCCGAATAACTGTGTGTGTCGCGTTCAACAAAATAAAATTTACCTCAATTTCATGTTGTGCCTAAGTTTGATCGCTTAACAAATGTACGAAAAAACTGCAAATGATTTTTACCAGACCTCGCAATTTGTGGAAACATAACTGATAGCTCATGCTAGTGTTAGACAGAGATGCCCACTGAGTTTCTCGCCGGATCTTCTCAATGGGTCGCGCTTCCGACCCGTCGGTAGATTCTGCAAAGCACTGCTCTTGCTAGGGCCAGTGTTAGCAACACACCCGGTTTGAGCCCCGTGAGCTCATCTACACGTCAAGGAGAGGCTGATAAATAGCCTTTATCAGCATAGGTAGGACAAAAAAAAACTGAGATAATGCATTTATACATATATATTACATATGATTAGAATGATTTACAAAAAAAAACTAAACTACACATGTCAATAGACACCAAAATAAATCTGGCGTTTCTTCAATGCGCCTCGTCCACGGTCCTCACCTTCGTTTCATATTAGATGTGACCCTAAATGAATCCGTGCAATATTGTATTACGTGCATTTAGTTCAAGTCAAAGGTCGTCGTTCGATTTAAATTAGACTGGCGATTGATTGAGCGTTTGATGTTGAGTATCATATTGACATCCGATTTCGTATATTGCCTATTATGACATTCATTAGAAGCATATAGAAAGAGTTCGTCAAATACATTATTGTATTATTTTTATACTGTCTTTTTTATTGCTTTTGTAGGCACGCGAGTATACGGTCCCCTGATGGTAAGTGGTTACCGTCACTCAAAAACGTCAGCAATGCTAAGGCCACGCCTAAATCTCTCTTTACCATTAAGTACTCACCACATCTGCCCGATGATATGCAGGCGAAGTAAATTGTCCCTTAGAAATAAGGAGACACTCTACAAAACTTGCATACGCCCCGTCATGACCTATGCAAGTGTAGTGTTCGCTCACGCGACCCGCACAAACTTAAAATCACTCCAAATGACTCAATCCCGTTTTTGCAGGATAGCCGTCGGAACCCCGTGGTTCGTCAGGAATGTCGACCTCCATGACGACATGGACTTAGAGTCCATCAGTAAGTATCTTCAGTCGGCATCGATGCGCTACTTCGATAAAGTGGCACGACACGAGAACCCTCTCATCGTGGCCGCCGGTAACTACATTCCCGATCCTGCGGACAGAATGGAAAGCAGTCGACGTCGCCCCAAACACGTCATATCGGGTCCTGCCGATCCACTAACGGTGCTTCTAGGTACCTCAAGCATCGGTCATCGTCGTCGTCGAACCCGTCGCTTGCGACGAAGGGCTCGATGAGTAAATTAACCCTCAGACACAGCCCACTGAGTTTCTCGCCGGATCTTCTGAGTGGGTCGCGTTTCCGATCCACTGGTAGATTCTGGGAAGCACGGCTCTTGCTAGGGTTCGTGTTAGCAACGTCTCCAAGTCAGAGCCACGCGAGCTCACCTGCTCGTTCGGTGAATCTAGTATGATCCCTCGAGATCACCAGAACTGGTAGGCAAAAAAAAAAAAAAAGAGACACTGATAGTATCCGGCACGCTTGGATCTTTGAAGTGCTATAAAATTGAGCATCGTAAATTCACCTACCAAAACTCGCGTAGCCGGAATAGTCGCTTAAGCCACTAGGAATTGAGTTTTTATTATTATTATTTTTTATTGCTTCGATGGGTGGACGAGCTCAAGGCCCTCCTGGTGTTAAGTGGTTACCGGAGCTCATAGACATCTACAACATAAATACCGACACCTTGAGACATGAGTTGTAAGATCTCACTTTTAACAGTACAACGGCTGCCCCGTCCTTCAAACCGAAACTCATTACTGCTTCACGGCAGAAATAGGCATGGTGGTGGTACCCGTGCGGACTCACAAGAAGTCCTACCACCAGTAATTACGCAAATTATATTTTTGCGGGTTTCATTTTGACTAAACGATGTTATTCCTTCACCGTGGAAGTCGATCGTGAACAATTGTCATGTACGTATTTCATCAGGAAAATTGGTACCCGCCTGCGGGATTCGAACACCGATGCATCGGTACATACGAATGCACCGGACGTCTTATCTTTTAGGCCACGATGACTTATGTTTGAGTAGAAAGT